AAACCAAGGAATTCATAATTTACTTTACGTATGAACTTCTTTATTTCTACTGAGTCAGTTGTTTTGACTTCAATTTCGTCGAATTCAGGAATAGTTAGTTTTTGTTGTTGGATTTCAGGCAATTTGGGTAAATGGTCAATAATGTCCTGCATTTCATAAAGATACTGTTCATTTGTTTCATCTTTCGCACTACAGTCTAAATTACTTGTTAAAAGTTCTTGCTTTATCTTCTGGATTTTTGTTTCGAAAGTATATGAAGAAGGAATGAAGCTTTTCATCTCTACTAACATAGATGTTGGATTCATGACTAACGAGTTTGGTGCTGTAGTTTGAATTGTTGTTGTGCCGATTGTTGAAATCATATCTTTACATACAAGATAAAAATTTTTCTTAGAAAAAAATTAGCGTTATTTTTTTTTCATAAGGAAATGTCAAAAATTCATGATTTTCGAGAGTTTAGACCATGTTAGAAAAGTGGTTAGAAAACGTGTTAGATCTAACATTCTAACATAAACATTATTTTTTGGTGTAAATAAATGGTACCATTAATGATATCATGACTGTTCTCATTCATGTCTGATTTACATCTAATGAAAAAGTTTAGAAGAATTTTCTTATTCTTTCTGGCATATTTTTGTCTTTCCAGTACTCCCGCTCTAATGGTCCCAGATGTGTTGGCTTTGACTCTCTCAAGTTCTTAGATGGTATAACATCTTCAACACCTCCTTCATATCTTACTTTATAAGTGTCATCGTTTATGTTGTAGCCAAGTATTTCAATAACCACTCTCGCTTTGCTTCGTCAATGGTTTCAGCAAGTTTGCCATTACTACTTTCAACTAATTTATGACGAGGATAAAATGCTATGGAGTCGTCAGCAGCTTTTATAAGATATCCATTACCTTGTGTAGAGTCTACGATATAATAGTTTCTACTTAACCTTAAACGTTTCTTTGTCAACGGTTTGTCGTCAAGAACTACACGAACTTTTGTACCAGGAATGAGGTAAATTGTGTTGAATTTTCTGATATTTTGTTGTTTGGCTTCGTTTCTTTTGTATATACTTTTTTCTTGTTGTTGTGTCATTGAATTTGGTGTATGTCCTGTTGTAGAATGTGTTGAGGAATTATATACTTCGAGAAATGTTTCATTGTTTTTCGGTAAAGTCTCGCTCTTGATTTAAATCTCTGAGCGTTCTTAGAAGCGGTTTATGATGCCGAGTATGTTATGGTTATGGTCTTCAGTAGTGTAGTGAGTTATGTTATGCTTAATGAGAAATTCTGTGATTTCATTGCTGAGGTATGCACTGTCTTGGTCTGATGTTAATGAAGTGGGATGTTCTGCTACAAACTTGTAAAACTCTTAAAACTTCATGAGTTCCTTTTTTTTCATTGGATATGCATATGCTTTACGAGTGTTAACATTTATGAAGATGAAGGAATGGTTTATGTCCTCCTTTTCTGCTTTGAATGAGAGTGTCAAATTGGTATGCGTCAGGAGTGTTGGAGTAAATTGGTAAAAAGTAGTCGTAAGGGTTTATTTTTGTTTGATGTACAACATTTTTGTCAAAGAACCTTTTCACTTCAGCTCTGTTAGTAAATCCCCAACTCTTTGCAGCTTCATTGAATTCTTAAATGACCTCCATGGATGTTGTTCGAATACTTCTTTCAAGCTCATTTATGTAAAGTTTAAAGATTTTAACCAACTCGTATCCAAGCGTGCATTGTTATATAAGGAGGCATATAATCTTTTCCATTACCTGCTGGGTCTGTAATCCAGCTACAACATGCGTATGATTTCCTGCAGTTCCACAGAAAATACCTGTGCTAACATCTTTGGGTCATCTGAGATATCATATCTGTTCATTCCCTGTCTATTCGAACCCGCTGCAAGATTTATATAACCTCTTTTTGTTATTGAATGTGAATGGTTTCCTTCCACAGATGTTCTTCCACTGAACCTATGCATATGTGAAGGAAGGTTTTCAATACCTATTTTCTTTGAACCTCCCATCTTCATTGACTGCGTATTAGTGTAGAATGGAAAACTGTCAACTATTTCATACCATCTACCACCAAATAAAGTGTTTGGATTTATTGGATTCATAGACGTATAAACAGCTCCTATAGGATATATTAAATCATATATGCTCATAACTCTATAAACATATTCTAAAGAACTTATGTCATTAAATACCATTTGGAATGTATCTCCCGGATGAAATGTTGCATTTGTTCCACTTTTATAATGTAATGTTAGTTCAATAGAATTATCCAAGAAAAATTCAAAAGTATCTGGTTGAAGACCTCTAACAAATTCAAATGGAGTTGCTGTTCACCATTTATAATTTCTGTTGTAAATGTCATTGTATCTGGTTTCGAAAATTTCTTTGTTAGTTCTGCATCCACATAAGTTTTATCTGCTTTCTTATCTAACATTGTTGGTAGTTCATATGCTTCAAAGTTTCTGGCATGACTTTCAATGTTCCTGCAACTCTTATCTAAACTTTTAAGAGTATCTTTTACGCTTGTACTTGGATTTTCTAATGGTGCACTTGAACCAAGGTCAAAGTTCAATATTATGTCGTCTGCTCTAACAGTAGTGAAGGATTTATGTGTATGGTTCTTGTCAGCTTTACTGTCTAATGTAGCTTGAAGTTCATTTATATCGGAGATGTTGTGTTTATGAGATTTCAAAACTTTGTTCATTGCTTCGAGTTCAACTTTGTCAGCTTTACTTTTAATAGCATCTTCAAACGTTATTTTTGCCTTAACTCTCAAAGTAAATCTTGGTTCAACTAATACACCGTTAACATTGAAAGTAGAGGCATAAATTTCACCGGTATAACCAAATGCTTCTGGTGCTTTAGCTACATCATACTGTACAGTACAGCTTATGTCATAACCTTTAGCACGAATGTATTTATATCTTCTTTCATTAACATTTTTTGTCTTCGCTTCATCACTTCGTGTTAAATATCCATGGTAGTCCGTTATAATCTGTTCGTCTGAAGTTATATAATGAACATGGTTCTTGTCCGCTTTACTATTTAATGTAGCTTGAAGTTCATTTATATCGGAGATATTGTGTTTATGAGATTTCAAAACTTTGTTCATTGCGTCAAGTTCATTTTTGTCCGCTTTACTATTTAATGTAGCTTGAAGTTCATTTATATCGGAGATATTGTGTTTATGTTCTTTATCTGCTTTTTCGGCTAATTTCTCTTCTATCTCATTTATTTCAAGTTCATGCCTACCACCACCTCCCGAAGAAGTATTTTTCTTCAGCTCTTGAAGAACGTCCACTTCGCCATCTTTGGTGTCAATAATGAGACTTTGTGTTAAAACCTTTCCTGTCTTAATGGATGTTTGTAAAACTTCTTCTTCACCGTGTTCGGGTCATGGTCGTCATCATATCTTGTGAAATCAGAGATGTTGTCATACATTAAGCATATCTGTCTCAAAAGTTCTGCTATTTGAAACTGGAACGAAAGATATACAGAACTTTCATCATCTCCTAAAGTCAAGTCTGCTTTCTTAAGTATTTCTTGAATGTATGCAATGAGAACAGAGTACCTTGGAAAATATTCGAACAATATTTCATTAGCTGTTGGTTTTGGTGGTTCTTCTGGAGTTTCTGTTGTTTCAGTTCCTTCTGTTGGAGTTTCTGCATCTCTTGACTTCAATGCTCTTGCTCTCAAAGACCTAAATGTTAGAGCACCGGGTTTTACAAAGGACTTTATAAATGCTTTAATAGTTCCTGGTAAGTTATTGTTAGCATTAAGTAAGTTCCTTATGCTTCCATCATGTACGTCCATAGCACTATGTAAAAAATCTATACTTTTCTTGTAGTCAGCAATAGACTGACTGTGATTTTTTAAAGATTTGTCAATACCTTTAAGCCAATCTTCATGCATGTCTGATACTGAGCCAAGAATATCATTTGCTTCCTTTAGTGTATTTTGTGCTTGTCGTAAAGTATCCAATCCCGTACGTGCATTGTTTGCTATACGTCTTACAGTATCTATTTGACTCCTTGTTTCTTGCATCCAACCAGATAAAGTTTTAATAGTATCCGAACCATTTGAAATGAAGTTCAAAGCATTTTTAACGTCATTTAAAACTTCTTCACCAAGTACTGCCCATATCTTTCCGATTTGGTATTGAAGAACTCCATATGAAGCAGCTGTTAAACCAGTATTTATAAGGTCCCATATCCATGATTTAGCAGTTTTTCCATCCTTTCCATCCTTTCCATCCAAACCGTTTTCGCCTTGAGGTCCTTGTATTCCTTGTATTCCTTGTATTCCTTGTATTCCTTGTGGTCCTTGAGGTCCGGTGTCACCCTTCTCTCCTTTCAGTTCATCTTTATGTTCGTTATAATATTCTAATGTCATAAGGTGTACATCATTACTGCTACCAGCAACGCCGAGAATTTGTTTCTCATTCATGACTAAATTCTTTAGGCATTTAATGTTGTCGTCAAATCGAAAGCTCTTTAACAATTCAATGAGAACATTTAATACTTTCACTAATGAGGCATCTACTGTAGAATTTATATATTGCACCGTTCCATCATTTATGATAGGAACTTTACTTATTGTAATGAATGGGTCATAAGTGTTAAAAGTATCGAAATCAATGACTTTTTTAGTTTTTCCATCGTCAATGACTAAATCATTGCCTTCAATGGTTAAAGTTGAGTTTTCGTTTACTAGTTCATGTGCTCTTCTTGCTTCATTTGTTTCATACGCATATGCAGCAATAGTCATATTTTAATGAGAATAAAATGTTGTTCTATTTGCAAAGTACAGACCCAAACGAATACGGAATAGTAAAGCTACAAACAAACTTAGGTCTTCAGAATGAAGCACTTGCTTTCAGAGTTGTTGACTTCAATACTATCGCAACTTTTGTCATAACAGATGAAACAGATTTCATGGAGTTTGAAATAGATGGAAAGAAGCACGAAATAAGATTTCACAATAATGTAGAATATAAGATGGAAACATTAGCTGGAGTGTTAAATGCTCTCATAAATACTACAATAAACAAGGATAACGAAGAAAACTTAATGAATGTTAAACTTATTGCAGGAGTTTTGAAGTTCAGTTATGCAAAGGAGTTTAAGATAACACGAATGAGTCATAGAGTTCAATTGCTTCTGGGTGCATACCATATGACATTTCCTTTGAAAAGTGTTGACAAAACGATTGAGATGAAATCTGTTCCATACGTATGTTATGGTAATTGTTTGTACATTGAGTCTAAAATAGCTAATGTCACAGGCATTTCAGGAGTTAATAGTAAAGGTTCAGTAGAATATAAGTCTTTCTGTTATGCAGTCAATTCAATGTTCATTCCAAACGTTCCTGTCATAGCAACTCATTTAGGTAAATGGGTTCGCATTAGTCCTCATAATTTGAAAGACATGCAATTCAGACTAGTTGACTTTCAGGGCGAGCCTGTAGAACTGAAGGCACCAGTGCGAATGACTGTTGAAGTTGACTTTTTAGAAAATATTAAATGCAACAGCTTACAAGAGAACTCAGAGCTAAAAATATAAAGTATGAATGTTATGTATTAGGTCATGAACTTTGGTTGTTGCTGTTTGATGAAACAAATGAATTAGTTATGTCAGTCAAGAGAACAGAAAAAGGCGTCAAAGGCGCCGAGCGCAAAGCGCTATATTGTGTTAGTGAAAACTGCACCAAGTCAATAAGATTAGGTTTGCATTATGAAGATGAGTTCGATACTGTTGAAGAAGTTTTGGATAGATATTACAAATTGCTTTAATTTACTAAAACATATTTCAAACAAAGTTTATATTCTGTTGAAAGTTTTGTATATTCATTCGAATATTTATACTTAAACTCAACTCCTGTAGTTCCTGGTGTTTCAATGATGCGGATGTTACCTATTTTCATGAATGGTGGCGTTTGACCACAGCATTCGATTTCAGGGTCGAGATAGTCAATGACACATTGTTTCCCTGTTATTCGTGATATAACATTTTCAAGGTCCTCCTTTGTTAGAATTATTTGGTTCTTGCTTATAAGATTTGTCAAAAGCTTCTTATCGTCTTTGAGTAAAATTGTTTGGTATAACTGAAGAAGGTAATGGTCTACGTTATCTGAAGGATTTGTTTGAACATTTGTGTAAGGGTTGTCGTTGGCTTCTCTTGAAAGAACTTGGTCCAGTGGTGGATACTCTAACTTAACATCTGATGTAGCGTTAGCGTTTGAAGCTGAGTTTAAATTCACGGATTTCAGTTCTGGTTCTTTTTCTTTCAAACACTCTGAACTATAGTTCTTTATGACAATATTGTTTGTCGTTCGTGAGTCAACATTTGATGTTGGTTCAATTGGAACATTAACGGCACCAGCTAAGATGGATTTGCTTCTCATTTCATATAGAATAAAAACCTTTTATATGTATGAAATGAACAATATACTCGACAAGGGTTTGAATGTAAAGCTAACGAATGAAAATATTGTTGAATTCACCGAGACAGGAGCTGTGTATAAAGATGTAGAACTACTGAACAAAAGAGCAAAGGGAAGAAGCAGGAATATGAACAAAGGGTGGAAGCCTATAAAAATTTATGTCAATGATGGCTCGGGAGGTTCAAACATAAAGTATGCAGAAAGTTATAGAGTTTATGCTCTCAAAGGTGAAAAGCCTTCATTTAAGAACAGCTATTCTAACGCATATCCTCAAAAGCTAACGGATGGGGAAGTGGATGATATGAATGACAGCAAAAATATTAACAGAAATGGCGACAGAGATGCATGGAATTTGTTTACCATCAGTCAATTGAAGGTTAAACTTTAAAACAATGTTGGTCGTTCCCATGGAATATTTTTGACTTTAATGGTATTAGTCATGATATGAATCTCAAGGTATGAACGAGGAGAGATGAGAGACTTATATGCTTCCCAAATTTCTTCAAAAGGTAATGTTATACCTGACTGTTTCCAAATGAGTTCAATATCATAACGTGAGAAACCTTGAAAGATAACGAAGTCAGTTATGAGACGTTTTATGTTTAAAGCTAAAAACCTCCATGTTTGCATAAGTATTGCTACAGTTAAATGGTAATGTCTGACTTTAGTTATGATGTTAGCTAATGGTGAGTCTGGTTTTGACACTAAACCTTTTCCGGCGAAGTCGTCACAAACGAGCAGAGTGTTTGAAGGATACTTTTTGAAGGGGTATTTTGAAAGTTTTGATAGAATGTAGTTTGTAAGTCGTTTCATATCGTAAACTCCTGAGTATTGACGTAAGTGGTGTTTGTCAATAATTCTTTCCATCTCCTCAGAAGTCTTTTGCATTCCTGACTGTATGAACTCTACGATGGCATAATATTTCCTCTTACGTCGAATGTAACGTTGAAGAAATTCAATGAGTTCACTGTCTGGAACTTTAACGACAGAGGCTTGAACTTTTGACATAAATGTTTTCGCTGTTGAATCCATAGAGTCTGAAGTTGCTGATATAATGATTTGGTCATAGTAAGAGTCGTTTCCTAAACGCTCTGTTATGAGTATATGACGAATGAGGTTAAATGTCTTACCTGAACCCATCTTTCCACAATAGAAATACACACCATTTGAACAGAATTCATAATCTTTGCTGAAAGGAAGAATAAGAGAAGAGTTAAGTTTGTCTGTAGTTTCATTCATGTCTTCATCTACATCATGTATTAAATGCTTCATTTTATCTCCATTAAAAATGCAAGTCAGAAATATTCAGAACATAGCACCGAGTCTAACTGACAAGAGTATAAAGATATACTATGAACACGTTATGATGAAACCTACCAAAATTCAAGAAAGTCAGTATACTTATGAATATCCAAGACACTGGGTAGAGTATGTAGGAGGTGAGAAAGCTATTGAAATAAGACAAGTTAGAAGTATTCCAGCAGGAAGAACAATATTATTGAAGAACTTTAATGTTTTGAGGTATAATGATGAAACAAAGAAGCAAGATAGTTTTCCTGTTGCTGTGTATGTGAACCTAGACACAGGAGATGACATGAAAGTTTTTAACGCAAAGCTTCAAACGGTAGTGAGAGAACAACTGACTGCGGAAGAGCATCCATTACCTTCAGAAGTTACCATAGCATATAATTTTGAAACAAACTCAATAGATTTTAAAGTCATCTCTGCAAAGAAGTCAGGTTTTACATTTAATGAAGCAGATGTATATTCGAATGAAAACTTCAAAGCTATTGCATGGTTAGATAATGACGATTGCTTTAAGAAAATATTTAAATTCAGTGACTCAAAGATGTCAATAGATGACCTTCGTGGAATGTTACCATCGACGTTTACAGTAGAAGGTTCAGCAGGATTGCTTACAAGATTGTCAATTGGTGGTATTTGGTCTCGTGAGAACATTGTTATAAAATCCAGTATAAGTGAATTTGCTGAAGAATCTATATTATGTCTTTCAAACTACATGTATTCGCCGCCGAAGCATTATAGTATAACAAACTTTGTCAGTAAGTTTAACATAAGACTTGTCGAACCTTCTTCAATGAAAGATGTTGTGCTACCTAAAGATGGAAAGGATGGACTCATTATTGAGATGATTTTAATAGCATATTAAATGAGCTTGTTCTTGAAAGTCATTCATGATGAAATAACTGTTGTAGAAGATGTTAGCAATTGTTCAGACATTTTGAAGCGTATAGATGATATAAGAAAGAAGTTAGATAGACCGCAAAGCGGTGAGGGCGAAGCCCGTGAGAATGTTTATGTTTCATTGACTTTCTCCAGTAACGAGAACTTTTATGAGATAATATTGAAGAGAGATGATTTTAATATGGTGTAAATGGTAGCTTGGGCAGCTTTAGGCGCAATGGGAACAAAAGCATTAGCATTTGGAGCAAAAGCACTTGGAGCTTATGACGCAGTAAATAAAATGAGTGGAGGAAGAGTTTCGAAGACATTAGATGCAAATAAAGGAAAGATTGGAGGCTGGGTTGCAAAGAAGTTAAGATTAAATAAAATAGGACTCATAAATAAAGCATCCAATTTGGTTGCGACTGAGTCAGAAAATGCTTTAGGAAAGGACGATGAGTTTGCAAAACACGCAAAAGACTTTAATGACCAGATGAAAGGTGAAACAATGCATTTAAATAGAGTCGATGGAACTAAAGAAAATGTTTCTTCTCCACCAGTAGTTTTTCCGTATGGTCCCTATGGAATGTATGGAAACCCTTATGAACGACCATTTGACCCATTGACTGGTGGAAGTAACTGGTATCATTACGGCCGAAGAAGAAAGACAGTCAAGTTGGAGACAGACGTGAAGAAAGCAACTAAAAAGAAACCAAGGAAGAGAGTTATAAAGCAATGAATTCAACAGGGTAGAAATGAGGTTAGAAATGAGGTTAGATCTAACCTTCTACCCTAAATTTATTTTTGCACTATGTTTTCATACGTGTGAGGGTAGTGATATCATTAATTTTTTATATTTTATTTTTATATTTTATTTTTATTTTGGATGTAATGACGAAAACTATTGAGATAACAAACTACAACGGTCATGAGTTCAAGAATTTGTTCTTCGTTCCTCGTGAAAATACATTCTATCAGATACGAGGGAGAAAAGGTAAAGTTAGTTTGAGCGTTTATGACTACAAGCATAATGGAAAGTTTATACAAGCATATGATACAAACGGTAAGCGTGTTTCATTAGCTTTGTCAAAACTTACAGGTATAAACTATGACAGTGATTTTGACCTATATGAAGAAGAAAGTGAGTCAGAAGATTATGAGCTGTTATATGAAGCACAGCAATGGGAGGAGTTGCAATACTTTTGTAAGTGAGAACGTTTATTTTTTACATTAGTGAGGTGAAGTGGTTGGCGGCTTTATAAATATTTAAGGTTAGGTTGGTGTTTGTGTTTGTGTTGTAAAATATACGTTAACGGTTTTGTAAAGTGTCAAATTCACAAGTATTGCGTACGGAGGAACGCAGTGCCTCCGTACACGAGACTTGTATACTAACTTGTTCTGGTTTTTTGAGAAGCATTTTGGCTGTGCCAGTAAAAACGAACTCAAGATTTTGATAGAATTGTCTGCTTGAGTGAGTGAAATTGCATACTGTAAGTGGCATTGCAACTCGGTTTGCTTGAACAGATATTATTGAAACTTCTTCTCCATCTGGTATCCGTTCAGGAATATCTAAAGCGGCTGTTGTTATAATATGCATATTGTTTTCGTAATGCAATTTTGGATATATTTCGAATGGATGTGCAGCTACACCAGCTGGAGCAACAATGGAAAGATTCCAGGAGAAAGAACCGTGTTTGTTTTCATCTTCTTTCCAATTGTAAGTTAAAGGATAAGGGCGAAAGTCTTTGAGTGTTTCATATAGCTGTTCTCTTAAGTTTGGTTCACAGCAAATAATGAATTCGTCAATTGCTTGAAGAGATATCATAGTTGAAACATAAGGCAAATTCGACAAGAAAAGGTCAACCATTACTGTCGGGTTTTGAACTTTGTTTTCTAATGTTTCGACTGGTTTTATTATACTTTTGAAATATCTATC